CCTCCTCACGTAGCCTGACAGGTCGCAGGGCACAGGGTACAGCTCCAGCCGGGGAAGGGAGAAAGGTGGAGGAGGCTGAGGAGTGGCGGTGGTATTGAGGGCCCTGAGGAAACACCACCAATGCCTCAAGCTCCATCACATGCCCAACATCTCCTGGTTGCCAAGTGAGCATAACTGGGCCCCGACCCTCTAGGATGGACCAACTCCTTCACCCTGCCACCCTTTGCCTGCTCCTCCACAACCAAAGAGGGAGGCTCCGCTCCAGCTTGCTCTCCTGGCCCAATGCTTCGGGGGCCTCCCCCCAGCCTCTCGGGAAAGGCGGGCTGGCCCTCGTACCTGTGCTCTCCTCGGCCTGATTGAAGCCACAGATCTGGCAGATGCTCTGCACCCATCTGTTCATGTCCTCCTCCGTCTCCGCCACCAGGTAGAAGGTGCGCTCGCTGGTCTTGATGTCGAACACGAAACTGTCCTGCAGCTCCTTCTTGTTGAAGGTCAGGCCTGCGTCCACCTGCTCACAGAAGTTCAGGTTGATGATGCGCAGGGGCTTCTTGGAGTGATCGTTCTTGTAGTATTCCAGAACATCTGGGTCCCCGCTCATCCGGCCGCTCCGCAGGATAAACCAGCGTTTCTTCCAGGCCTGGTTCCACCAGGAGGGCACAGGAAGAGGGGAAAAGTCATTAATCATCTCAAATTTTTTAATGAATTCAATTTTTTTTTAATTTGCCAGAGGATATGTATGCTTACTGGAGAGAGGGAGACAGAGAGCCCCCAATACAGTGTGGTCATGCTGTCATCCCTTCTCCAGTCCTTCCCAAACAAGTATGCACCCTATGACAAAACTCAAAAAAAATCGAATTGCTATGATTACCAATTTCTCTCTCTAGCCCATACCCATCTATCGAACCCCAGAGTCTTATATCCAACTGTTCACTCACAGCATCTCAGAATCCACGTGCTCAAAAGTGAGCTCCTGCTATCCCCCAGACCCATCCTTCCTGCGACCTCCCATCTCGGCAACTCCAGCCTCCAGTTGCACTCAGGCCAAAAACCTTGAAGTCACAGTTGACTCCTTCCTTTGATTCTCCACATCAAACCCATCAGCAAATCCTGTCGGTTCAAGACGTTCACAACATCCTCAACCTGACTGCTCCTCCCCACCACCACCGTGGTTCGCCTGGCCTAGCTCACTGCTTTGCAGTCTCCTGCTCTCACACCCGCTCATCCTGCAGGCTACCCCCAATACTGGAGCCAAAAAGCAGGACATCGAGGAGGGCACGCCAAGTCTCCCACGGCTGCTCATCTCACGCCAGTGAAGTCCAAATGGCCTACAGCCCTAGGTGACTGGCCCTCACCTGCCGCCACATCTGACCAGCCTCTTCTGCCTGGCCACACTGGCCTTAAACAGTCCAGCAGCTCCTGCTTCATGGTCCTTATTCTGGTCATTCCCTCTGCCTGGAATGCACCTCTCCAGACACTCCCATTGCTTACTCTTTCTTTGAATCTTTATCCAAATGCCAGGTTAC